CTTTGTGGTATGTGGAGAATTCCCTGACAAAGATATTTAGACACTCCGTGACAGACTTTGCCAGCCTGGCACCCTCCACATGCCCTGGACTACAATTCCCACCAGTCCAGCCAGCCCAGGTTTCACTGGTGATCCCATGGATAAGTAAATGTCTCGTGTTGACATTTGCTAAAGCCACCGATTGGATTCTGTAACCTTCCAGTCAGATCACCACCATATCCTCTGCAAGTTCTACAAACAGCTTTTATAAGTAATGGCAGAGCATTGACCTTTCTCACCATGAAATGAGAAGATGAGTCAGGGTCCTACCTCTTCCCCACACCATCCATTGTGATGTAGATGTGTTGCACCACAGGCATGAGCAAACACAATGAAAAGAGGGTTGTTGGTTGTTGTTTTTTAAATAAAACACACACACACAAATGTGACTCACATATTAAAACAAATATTACAAATTCCACACATGAACTTTATATATGCCATATGTACTCATGTTCAGTCAACTCATGCTCTTTTAGGCTAGCCCTAAGAACCACAGTCCCCACAAATAAATAAGAATGCTTATTTGTGGTATATGCAAAAACTAGATGAATCACAAGAACCAGTAAATGACATTAGATCTGCATGGAAATGTTATAATGAATTCTTGTGTCGCAACCATGTATGTTTTATAAAGGGAGTCAATGGAAACAACAGCTAAAACATGGCATCTGGATTCTTCATTTCAGGCATTCAATCACGTTTTCAATATTTCATCCCTTTCAAAATTAAAACCAAACAATTCCAGAATGTCTCTTTAAAGGAACATGGCCACATCTCATTTTCTGAACACAGATGCCCCCCACACTCATCATTTATCGAGCCAAAATAAAATTGTGCTAACCAGTACTCTACATCATTCAGGAGATATTCTCTTTAAAACTTTCTAGCAACTTAACAAAAAACCTACTCCTTAAGCAGTTACTTTGCTTGCTGTGATAACAGGAAGCATACCAAGTCTTCTAGCAGAGTCCGCAGCTGCATTCAAGAAAACTCCAGCTATTACAATGGTGGAATAAAGGCACAGTAATACTGCTAATGCAGTGGTTACCAAATGATGGGTCTAGACCAAATGAGTGAGCAGTAACGGTGGACTGGTGTTACCAAAGGTTGTAGGCACACACACTAAGGTGTATTGTGAGATGAGCAAACGAACTGCTTCCTGTTCACTTTGCAAACTGTTTGTTAGACTCCTCAAAAGATACCAATAAAGAGCCATACTACGTGTTTAGTAAAATCCTTGGGATTCTATCACTTAAGATTGCTGGTGTGTAAACCTTAAAAAAATAATAATAATAACTTCTTCGTGTAGAAATTCAGACTATTAAGACATTGGTAGGTTTTCTTTCTTTCTATTTATTTATTAAAATATTTATATCCGGCTGTTCAGGATAAATGTTCTCACAAGGCAGTACACAAAACCAGTCATATAACATAAACTCAACTATTACGCCAGTTTAAAATGAGCAGTAAATACATCAATAAGATGCAGCAGTTAAAAATAATTATTATAAAAAGTGGATTAAAGCGCAAACATCGAGACGAAGGATTTTTATGACACTTTATGTATTAACTGACTTAACGTCAGCATTATCAACAACTCTTTTCTGAATGCAGTTACGGTAGTTACATAACTATCAGTGTCTGTTCTTTACTGCATTTCGTTTCCCTCTGACCTCACTGGGTGATATCCAGTGTTTGTCCTACTCAGAGTAGACCCACTGAAATCAGTGGACTGAAATAACTTTCTACTCTGAATGTGATTTGGTTGGATGACACCCACTTTTTACAATCTGTGCTCCCCACCACACCACAAAACTATGTTTATGAGTTGCAATTCAGGATATAACACTTTATGCATCTGATGAAGTGGGTGTACGCCACAAAAGTTTATGCCACAATTAATTATTTTAGTCTTTAATGTGCTGCAAGACTCTTTGTTCTTTTAAAAGTCACTAATGAAAGGTCCATATGTACTTCATAGGAAATCACGACTTTCCAAAAGCAGGGAACTGTGGTGGGGCATTCGGAGTACAGGCAGCCACAAACATAATTAAGTCATCTATACAGGAAAGCCATGTTGTGTGGTTTTTCTTCATGTGTTGATCAGCTCAAAATGTGCTGTGTATTTGTGGTGGTCACTTGGAACTGGAGATCCCAGTTAGGCTCAGCAAAAACCGCCCCAGCTCATCAGACAGCAAAGGCATATCGTTTTCCTAGCAATTTGCTATTTTGTACAACATTAATAAAATAACAGTTTTCTGTGCTTTTATGAAGCCCAGAATCTGTTGCCTTAGTCAACCACCTCATCTGTAGGTAGGGATTCATTTCAGCTTGCATTTCTTTGCAAATCCATATAACTTACACTTTCTGAAAGTCTACGTGTATCAAAGCACATGGATCCTTCGAAATCTGCACTTCTCTGAATTTTGCAATACAAATTACTTCAGTCAAGTAATGTGTGCAAAAATGCATATGCTAAGGTAAAGTAACATACAAAAATGCATTATATTAGGGAAATTGTTTTACAAAAATGTGTATATTAGAGGAAATTTGCATTAAAGGGCTGATGAATTATCATGAGGACTTGTTAAAAAATAATTTGCAAACTGAAGTCAAAGTGCAGAGAACTGAACTTCAGACTGAAAAAAAAAGAAAGAAACCAAGGCTGGAAGATTGGCCTATTCCTAATGGTAGAACCAGCTCTGTATGCAAAGCAGGTATTGTAGCCTTGTATTTGATTTCACTCAACCCTATTAGTGTAATGCTTCACATTTCCACACTGATGATCATGAACTACTTTGTGATTCGGCAGTGGCCTGATATATTCTCATCTAGGCACACTGATACCAGAGACCTAAGCTGGTTCATTAGGCATTCATTCATTCTCTCCAAGAATTTCTTGAGAACTGTGAGGAGAGCCTAAGACAATTCTCAGCATCCACACTAGATGCCGTTCCAAGATTCTTTGGGAAAACCGTGACAGAAATGCTATAAAAACAATGTAGGTTTGTAGTGTAGAAGTTATGCTTTTTAAGATATCACAAGTGGGATCCTCATAACAGAGGGTCCTGGTTGTGTGCGGGACCCAAGAGCTCACCTGATAGGGTTAAAATGGGGGGGGAGCAATAAGTCCTGGCCATTCCCCTGGGATCACACCAGGTGATTTTAGCCAATAGCCAGTGGGTGGCGTGATCCCAGGGGCTTTAAAAACAGCAGTGTGATGCAAGGAGAGGCACTTGCTTCGCACTGTTGAACACCCGCCCACCCTGCCTAGTTTAGGTAGAGTCACTTGGCCTTGCTTTGGTTTGGGTCGCCTGTTTTGGAACAGGGGCTGATAGGAATTTTTCCATTTGGCAGATTGGCTTTAGCCATTTGGTTTTTGCCTACCCCTTAGCAAATCGTCACATCGTGTGTGGCAGAAACCGTGAACTTTATCTTGCCAACTTAAAAATAATTAATTTATTGGATGTCATGGAAAAAAAATTTAGCCACCAAGAACTGGTATTGTCTTTTTCTCCTTGAAAGGTATACCGATTGTAGCACATCCCTCACCCAGCTAATCATACCACAAAAGTTGTGCTGAGAGGATCGCTGTTCTGTTGTTTGCTAGCAGCACGGGAAGTCTGGCCTTACAAACCAGGCACATTAACTGACAGGAACAGATTAGCTTTCTTCCTTGCCTCCAAGTTCTCAATAGGAAGCACAGACAATGCTCCCTTAATTTGAAACAATGGCTGGATATTCCTAGGCTGTAAGATTCTTGGAGGAGTTTGTAATTATGGCTTTCAAGAGGAAGGGGCCGTGAGAAAGCAGCACACGCAAAGAACCTTTCAGTGGGAGAACTACAAAGAGTTTTTCATGAACGTGAAATCATCATTCTGATGTCTATGGACACACACTCTATAGACAGCATCTGTCTAGATAAAACATGCCGCCTTTAAACATGCTTCTGTTGGGTGTTTTAGAAGCATATTTCTCTCTGCAGACATTCCTCCTTTCCCAGCCGTTTCCCTTTAGATTGGTTTTTCACCATGACTGTATTACATACCCTAATGATCTCAAGGGCATGGATGGGAGAGAATGACAATTAAATGGCAATAATCAGCATTAGGGTCAATGCGGTATTATGGTGTGGCTTTAAATGTACAGTGAATTGCATAAAGATGAAACTTACATGGAGACCCGAGATTGGTATGAGATTCTAACCTCCTATCTGTAAGCCCAGACAACTGTTTAATTCATTTAGGCTTTTTTAAAAACTGAATTGAAAGCCTACTTAATTAAACTGTTTTATATCTTTTAAGGCTTTTTGTCTTATTTGACCCATGTGCAAAACAGCAAATCCTGATAGCTTAAGTGGATATTTTACTAATATGTTCTAAATAAGCAAATTATATGTCACTGGATTTCCCCGTTAGGTATCTGAAAATGACAGTAGCTGCAGGAAAATACCAGCAAAAAAAGATGTTACTTTACATTAACTGGATTGTTGATAGTAAAAAACAAAACAAAAACTTTTACAAGGCCAAGTAGATTATACCATTTACTTTCTTTTTTCTTTCTTTTTAACACTATGTCCTATATTATTTGGTAATTTTATTTCCATTCTTTACACCAAAGGAAATATACACTGATAAAAACTGGAGAAATAATAAATATGATAAAATAATTAAACTTGAAAAGGGAGGCAGCCTTATAACTGTTTTGTGGAAAAGTGGAGTATGTTTCTAATGTATTGGTGCAACAGAGTACAGGAAACTGCAAAGTTCAATATACTTTTAGCAATGTTGTAATTCACCTATTTATATTCTGCTGAATAAATACATTTGCTATTCTCACCATCTGTTTTTTATTGACTATATACATTATTTATATCAGTAATGTATCTTTTTTTGACTGACTGGCACTTTGATGACAACAACAAAGCAAAACAGGAGGGAATCTGATCATTAATGACAGTCCTGGAATAGCACAGTTGGTTAAAACATGGTGCTCATAATGCCAGGGTTCCAGGTTCAATCCCTGTATGGGACAGTTGCATATTCCTGATCCTCAGGGTCCCTTCAACTGTGGTTCTATAATTCTAATGCAATTTCTTTCAAAAGATGACATTTAAGATGACAAGAATTTAAGGTGAGTGTATTTTTTTATATATAATTGCTGTTTTCCTTTTAAATAAGATTAAAAAGCCACTTGGGTCACAAGTAACTTCCATGCTTTAGAGAGAGGGGTAGAGTGTAGTACATGAAAAGAATATACAAGCCTCCCATTATTGGTGGTGGACCTTCACACTGTATACATGTGCACCCCTGCACTCACATTGGTCAGGGGACAAGGCAACAATATTCTGTTGAGACTTGTGAGCTCCAGATATATGCTCTGTGGGGGATAAATCAGCCTATATAACCAACATGCTTAGCTCTAATTAGTGCATGAAGGGGTTAAGACCATAGAGCAAACTGTCCTGCCAGGCTTAACTAGCTCACACCCCTCACATTGGGAGGAAGCATTACCAAAGCCTTTGCTCTCTCTCCTTCCATCATGTGAACCCTTACAGCAAGGAGGTCTAAGCTGGATGCTCCAAGCTTAAACCACTTGCTGGAGTTCTCAAACCAAACACTAATTTCCGTAAACCTGGGTCTAGGCATCCAGGGAATTTCCCTTTTATTCTTTAACCAAAATACTTAAGACCAACAATCTGTTATCCCACTTGACTGGAGTGGGGCACACATCTCAGTCACTAAAGTGGACCAAAAATCTCAATCATGCATTGAAAATCTATTTTAGGGAAAATATATTCAAGTATTGAATTTCATTTTCTGTTTTGCCTAGTGAACATATTTGCATTAATCAGAATGATGTTCTTTTCAATGATGGTAAAGTATCAGACATCATTTAGTTTAGCTACTAACACTCATTTAAGAGAAACGCAAGCAAGCTTCTTAACTCTGCTTATTTATTTTCCATTTACAGTACAAGCACAACGTGCAACCAGAGAAATGGACCTGTCCCTATTTTGCTTTCAAGACATATGGGCAATTATGGGCTTGAAATTACAGTCTTTTAATAAACAGCAAAAACAAATTCTGTGCCAATGGCATCAAATTAAGACTTGCTGGCTTTTTTTGCCTAATTATAAAAGAAAAAGCATCTTAATCAAAACACATGAAGCATTAATGATAGTGATTGTTTTTTGATTGCATGGATGTTTTTTTTTACAGCGCACTAAGGCACTTTGTGGAATATGACAGTATCCAAATAAGTAACACAGGCCACACGTAAAGTTCAGGCAATTAGACTCCACCAAAAGTGTTCAGCCTATTTATTTATTTAATTAATGCAACATATTTTTAACCCATCCTTCATCACGATGTGATACCACAATGAGGTACAATAGCATACAACCTTTTCTTATCCCCAGTTCTAAGCCGTGCACCTTGAGTAATTATAGTCGTTGACTGCAACACTTTTGAGGCAAGAGGTGCCACAATACGTTGAGCACTAGCATGGGGTTGTTTACAAGAAAATAATAACTATAACTTCTGTGGAGATTCAGCAACTTGTCTTACCATCTCCCACCTCCAATAATAATACAGTGGTACCTCTGGTTGTGAACGGGATCCGTTCCAGAGGTCTGGCCGCATCCTGAGGAATTTGCAACCAGAGGTAGTGCTTCTGCGCATGTGCACAGTGCGGCTTAGCGCTTCTGCGCATGCGCACACAGCAAAACCCGGAAAAATACTTCCAGGTTTGCTGCGTACTTATCCCAAAGGATATGTAACCAGAGGTGAACACAACTAGAGGTTGTTGTTGTTGCTGTTTAGTCGTTTAGTTGTGTCCGACTCTTCATGACCCCATGGACCAGAGCACGTCAGGCACTCCTGTCTTCCACTGCCTCCCGCAGTCTGGTCAAACTCATGCTGGTAGCTTCGAGAACACTGTCCAACCATCTCGTCCTCTGTCGTCCCCTTCTCCTTGTGCCCTCACTCTTCCCCAATATCAGGGTCTTTTCCAGGGAGTCTTCTCTTCTCATGAGGTTGCCAAAGTATTGGAGCCTCAGCTTCAGGATCTGTCCTTCCAGTGAGCACTCAGGGCTGATTTCCTTAAGAGTGGATAGGTTTGATCTTCTTGCAGTCCATGGGACTCTCAAGAGTCTCCTCCAGCGCCATAATTCTTTATGGTCCAGCTCTCACTTACATACATCACTACTGGGAACACCATAGCTTTAACTATACAGGCCTTTGTTGGTAAGGTGATGTCTCTGCTTTTTAAGATGCTGTCTAGGTTTGTCATTGCACAACTAGAGGTATAACAACAACAACAACAACAACAACAACAACAACAATGCAAGAGACCCAGGCGAGGATTATTAATGCAAATAAGTACATAAATGCGAAGAAGAAAAGGATGCTGGGGAGACCAGCATCAGCCACAGTGAATCTTGCTATGTTGATTCAGGCCCAGGAGCTGATGCTGAGCCACTTTGCTGCTGCTCCCTGTCATCTGCTATTCTCTGGGTGGTTGTTTGGGAGGCCTTGGAGTTCAGCCCCAAACCACTTCTCTCAAGAAGCAACATGTTTTGGGCTGTCTAAAGAATCCATTAAACACCTTCCACTCCCCGCAAGGGTTTTCAGATATAGGCCTGCCTCTTGGTGATGGAAGGACATCAACTCTCCCTGCTGCTTCTTCTGCTCTCTGAGTTGTCCCTTCTCAAGAGGGGAAAACGGGCTACGGTAAGTTTGGCCTTTCCTCAATAATTTTCTATGCTGAAGTATGAGTCAGTGTAGAGTAAGCTGAAGAGTGACAGCCTGCAGCTGCAATGTGCTTTGTATATGAGGCGTAAGAGAGTTATATGTAAACATGCTAAACGTGGATGAAATATGATTGCCGTGAAAGAGTTCTACTTCCCTTATCCTGACAATAGCAGAAATGAACATGTGTGGTGTGTGTTTAGGTCCTGTATAGCTCAGAGTTGTTCAAACGTTTTATTAAAAACATAGCTCTCTCTCCCTCCACTCTAAATGTTCAAGAAAGAATGCCCAGAGCTCGTATCATTTGCTTCCCATGTTGGGTATGGATGTACTGATATATTTGCCATTTCTGCTGCTTTCATCTAGTGAAATAATAGCAATATTTCTGAGGGAACAGAAAGAATGAAGGAAGGCTTAGTACTAAAAGTCAAGAGATGAGAAAATGTCCCAATGTTTCTGCTACTGTATCTGTGTGCCTCATGTTTTTAGATTCCCCTGAACAGGGGCTTCTGTAAACAAAATGAATTGTCTCTGGATGAAAGAGGAAATCAGAGCTTTGTAATGTTCATTCCACATCTCTGTCATCATCAGGCCATCTCTGCAGTATATGCTGTTTATAGAGTTTGTATAAGCAGGAAACACCACCTGGCTGTAAATATGCAAATTCTTGGGCTATATTCACAAGCCAAGAATGGTTTGTGATAGATCACAGAGTTTGCTATACAGTACTAGGAAACAACTCCAGAATAATACAATGATATATTATTAAATCATCAGTGAAGTATTGAAAGGAGATATATAACCCTAACAATAAACTTTGTTTTTGACCTAGTATGATGCCAGCATACAACATTTAACTTCAGTTTACAACATTTAACACAAGCATAACCTCAGAATCAAGCCCATTACGTGGACCTAGGGGTGAACAAATCTATACATTTCAGTTTTTCTCAGTTTCTAATTTCCCTTTGTATGTGTATTTTATGCACTCTTTTCCTCAACATTTTTGTATATATTGTGTGCTTGGGGAAATGTGAATTTCAGAATTAGCTGCATTTCAGTTTGCTTGCTGGTATTAAATTCAAGTGCAAAATAGGTAGTTTCTCATTAAAAAGCAAGCAAAATGCACTCAAAATGGGACAAATTTAATTTCTCCCCCAGTGGTATATGGAACTTGCCATTGTGCTAACTCTGCTACAAGAGAGTAAGGATCTCTCTTCGAAACCTCTCTCTCCAGCAATAAGTCAAGTCTTATTCAAGGTCTACTAAGCATAGTTCACTCTGTTCTCTTGGTTTGCTATTCTAACCAGGAGAGAATGAGAATTTGACTACATGTTAACCCTGCAGATTATATTAACCCTTTATTATTAAATTTTGTGGTGTGCTGAGATAATTTTGCTAGTGAATATGGAGCATGTGGAGAGCATTCTAATTTTATACCCCAAGGGAAGAGTAAACTTTGTTTAGTATTAAAAAAAAATGAAAAGATACTGTCAAGTTAAATTGTCAATTAATGACTGTGGTTTTCAAATTGTCAGTTATCACTTGCAGGCACTTAAACCTTGAAGTTCCATGACAAGCTGCCAATATCTTTTTAAAGACATTAATAGATTTTAAAGGCCAAGCTGAATTCTAAACTTTCATTTAAAAAAAACCTTATTTTCCAATTACATTTTAGTTATTTTAGTAAGCCTGGAGATGTATGTTGTAGTGGTTCGAATGCCAGATTAGGACTGGAGAGACCTGGGTTCCAATCCCTAAGATTACTGTTTGACCTTGACTCTCATTAGCTGAAAAACTCTAGAGGAGGAAAGGATAAAGTTCCAAAAATCATCTAAAATCTAACACACCCAGGGGAAATGCTGTAATGTTATTAAAAAAACAACAACCCTGCAATGTCTGAGTGCCACTGCAGAAAAGGCTCTTTCCTCTGTGGGAGCATAGCACACCCCTGCTAAAGAGAGTACTTGAAGCAGGGTCTCTTCAGAAAGTCTTTAGACATTGCTATGGAGCTAAGAGGCAGCCTTTCAGGTATATGTGTCCCAAACTATGTAAGGCTTTAAAGGTAAGCGGCTGCATTTTAAAACGGGTCTCAAATGACTATGGTTCTCCTGAAAGTAAGTATGGAAAGGTCAGGCATAGAGGTTTAGGACACTGTCTCTTTTGTAAACATTGATCAACACTGGCTCAATACCTCTTAAAATTCTTTCCATTAAAGTGCCTGAATTCTCCCACTGCCACCCTAATATCTTCCAAAAGTGGTGTTTCATTTCAGGTCATCTT